TTGATAAGAACCTTTTGAGTGCCTTACACAATGGTTTTCTTGTGTGTTTATTGACAAAGTGGTGAGAGGCATCCAGTATCTTGAAGACTTTTCTTTCAGCCAAGAGTTCTTACGTTTGTGGAATTCATCTCGAGTTGTAAAGAATGGTTACCTAGAAACACAACATCCTTTTCTACTCCGGTTCCCGACAAAGCTTGGTGGACACGCACAGCTCACACGGAAGTACTCTAATTTCACTGACGTCTTTGTACAGACAACAAACTCGTTTCTGCAGTCCTATTGTTAGTCTCTTGATTCATAATGACTTAAGCACACTTGACATCAACTGCATCAAGATGTGACATGTTTTATAAGAAAAAGGGGGAAAAAAAACATTTAAAGTAAAAAAAATATTTTTAGGTATTTTCACAAACAAACTGGCTTTTCAGTAAACTTGCTTCCATGTTGGTTGGATAAGACAACAACAATTAAACTAAGTGGGAAGTGATTAAAAGGCTTTAGGTATCAGTTACATATTTTTCAAAGCCAAATATGTACATGCTAAGGAAAGAAAAAACAAAGAGAAGAGTCAATCTTGTAGTAATTTAATATTGTTATTAAAACTTTAATGTATCCTATTCTTTAACATTTGGTGTTAATATAAAATTACTTGGCAGTGCTTGACATTTGAAATAAACATTTTTCTATTGTTTTATTTGCAAGTGGTCCAATTAATTTTACTTAGCTACAGTTTGGTCATCAATAAGTCAAATGAATTCAAAGACTATTAAATTGTTAGGTTCCCAGAGAAATTAGGCTGCTTTAAAGAAGACCAGGTGGTTTTTAGAGTATAAACTTCTCCCAAAACAAAATCTGAACCTGTTTTTAGTATGTCTTCTCATATATAAAGCATTTAATCTCTGTAGATAAATGCTAATAGCTTTTAAAAGCTAATCTTAAAAAACAAATACCAGAGTAGATGAGGTTCCATTTTACAGTGTCTGAGAGAGAGAAGTATCAATTGTAGGTAAAGTTAGAAATGCCCTGAAAGTAGATAGATGCTTGTTGATCAAATTCCATAAACTAAATCTGAGTTTTTGTTTTAAAATGTTAAGAGCTGGCATAAATCTTATATATTATGAATAATTTAAGCACTTTTGAGTCACCTGCAATACAGTTTCTTCCAATTGTCATCAATATAAAAGACCTTAAAATAAATATTTTTTATACTTTTATTTCTTGGGTAGAATAGCTATTTTAAAATGCCTAGTGTGGCTAAAACACATATCTGTGACTCATGACTAAAGATCTTGTATTTCTCTTGTTGAGAAATTTAAAGGATCTATCTTTCCCTTCATAAAAGACCATTTATTTCCACTGATGCCCTTTACAGTATAATTAGTTCAGAGTTTAAAATTATTAACATTCAGTCATAATTTTTAATATTTTTATTCCTGCTATCTCTGCAGGCATGCACTTGGTGTTTTACTAAGTGTCTTGAAAACATTCTTATTTATTATGTATCACAAAGGGAAAGAGAAATGTGGAGTCTTAATAGCAATCACTTGCATGGAAAGTGGTGGTGTGAGGTATCATGATATTCTTCCTTAAATTTAGCTGTCCCTAATCACAAATTCCAGGCTAAAACAATATAATTTTAGTGCATTTCTCCTCATCAGGAATGTTGGAGTTGCATTTTAAGTTTAAATCATCAATGCTAGAATGACCAAATTGCAGACTAATTGTTTCCATATTATACTTAAAATGATTTTTAAAAATGAAAAAGACGACAATATACAATCAATGCTATTTAATGTACCTCTGGGCCTACTCTTCTACAAATTGTAGCTTATCAATTTTTCTCTGTCAAGCTTGAACTAATGTAAATAATTGAAATAATGTAAAGTTATATTTTCATGTTTTTATAGATACAACATGACAAGAATACATAAGTGTAAGAGTATTTCAACTATGGATAATGTTGATTGGATAATGCACATCTCAGTTACAAGCAGTAATCATAGTATAATATCCATGTAACGGTGCATCAATATATTGTTACATAAATATATCTGTGTGCATCAAGTGAAATGTGGTCAAACAAGAGTGATGACAGCTGTCTAAAGGTTTTTTAATTCATTTTATATAAAAACTGTTATGGAAAGACCAAAATGTTTATGAACTATTCTTATGTAAATTTACAACTGTCCTTTACTGTACTTTTTTGTTTACAGTATATGGTACCTTATTTTCTGCTGTGTTAAGTAGATGTCAGGCTCCAAGGAGACATACACTTTCTACAACTTCTATTGAAGATATTGGAATTTCCAATTTTTCATGTGTACTATGTCAGAAAATGCTTTTGATTTTATTTTTAAATCTAACATCGGATGGCTTTTTCGGATGTTGTAAAAACTTCAGTCATACATAAAACATGTTCTTAAAAAAGACAAAGATCTTTATTTATTTTTATGAGATAGTTCTTAAACCTAATAATAATGAGAAACAAAACAAACAAAAAAGTACTTACGTGTAGTCCCAAACAAACCCAGTGTTTCTACTCAACAAGGACCTCCTTTGCCCAGTGTATACGTTAGCATGGTACACTTGTAATAAAGTAGAAGTAACTTTTTTAGCTAAAATCATTAACATTTTCAACATTCTTAGCTTACAATCACTAAGTGTTCGGGGCATATGTAGCTATTAATTTTGTTCCTCATTTTGCACTGTGTTTTGTTAGCTCAGCTGCTGTTATAACCAGAGCAGAAAAGTAACTTGCTTTAAAAATTCCACAGTGCCACACATTTCCAGGCATATGTGTTTCCAAAAAGTGCTCATTTCTTGTTTTACTGAAGAGAGTATTGATGAGAAACTAAAACTCTTGCAACTTTGTCTTTCTACAAAGATGATCATCTTAATATTTAGACAGTGCTTTAAAATATATTCTGAAATTAAGCCATTTTAGTTCTTCAAAATTGCATATTAAAATTTCTTGTATAAAATTTTGCAGTTAGAATATATTTAATGTTTCAAAGTTGAGTGTACTAATGCTCTGCTTAAATATACAGTAATCTTAACATTCTGCAATCATAACTTTGCAAATACTGTAAATATTTTGGTGGTCATGGTAATAAATAGAGCAAATGAAGAGAAACAACAACATAATAACCCTACAGGATGATTTTAATACACCACCTTGACAATACCATTAAAAAAATTGCTGAAAATAATTAGAAAACTATAAAATGTGATTTTCTTCCCAGTTTTCTATTTCCTATCTCATCATATGCTAGAGTTATCAGCCTTGGAAATATAAACAAAACTCAATACTTTAATGCCTTAAAAGGTATGTGTGGGTCTTTAAACCTGTTTTAGACTGGGTAAGAGTTTATTTATTAGAGAGCCTGCAATTCTGTTGTGTATAATGAGGTGCAAATCAGGTAAATATTCCATTTTCCTCTAATTGAAATGAAATGAGTAGGTGTATGGATTGAATTAGTTACACATGTTCTATATTGCCAATTTTAATTGATGATGTCAGGTTTATTAGTAATATACTATGAACTTTGGAGAGTTTATTGGTTAAGTCCCACAAATTTTATATGAACTCTTTGTTGTTGTTTAGTCACTAAGTCTTGTCTGACTCTTTTGTGACCCCATGGACTGTAGCCGCCAGGCTCCACTGTCCATGGAATTTCCCAGGCAAGAATACTGGAGTTGGTTGCCATTTCCTTCTCCAGGTGTATGAACTCTAAATAAGCTTATTAAAGGAAATCGAATGATATAAACACCTGCTTAAAAGTAGAGTACATTTTGTGCAATGTGTTTCAATGCTAAAAAATGGTTTATTTTTAATCACCAACATTAAAGATGGGTAAGTATAAATGAATCATCATGATATTCTGAATGAGAATTTGGGGTTGCACTAAATGTTTTCTGACAGTTGTGTCAGATTTTTTAAAAGGGATTCACCCTCATAATATGTTGCTTGGACTAGATCATGACATTGGGAATTCTATTAGGTACTAATCAATAAATTATACTTCTCTATTTCTGTGTTTCAAACAACTCATAGATATCATATGGTACTCTAAGTACATGAAGTTTCAAACATATTTACATAAAAATGAAGATATTCAAGCCCAGCGACTAACACAAATGATCAAATATCCAATGCAAGTAGGAAAGTGCCTGGTATAAATCTAGATCATAAGAGTTTGTGTGTTTATAATTTTTTTCCTCCGTGCTTCACCATTTTACATTCTCTTCCTGTTCTTATGCAATTTTTCATGTATTTTGCTTCTAATGATAGCTAGTTTTAAAGTTTCATTCATCTCACCTTTGGCTTTTATTTCATGCTAACCCATCTACTTCTGGCTTGTCTTTCCTGAGATTTTTCTTTGAGGTCACTTAGAATGCACTTCATTTTGTCAAAGGTAAGACAAGAGAGTCTCAGAGTCTTCTTAATAACCACAAAAAATGACTAAGAATTTCTAGAGTGAAGTAAAAATTTCCTGTCAAGCTGTATTTCTGCATCACTGGCATATTCTGATTCAATAATTGCAAATTTGTTATATTCCTCCATGTACAATTTACAGAATTTCTGTAGGAAAAGGAAGGCTCTTCCATCTTTAATATGTTTGCTCATCAGAATTCCTTCTTTAAATCACTTTAGAATGAAAGCAAGTCAATTTTCTATTTTAATTCTACCCTCGAGCACTTCCAGATTATTTTTAAATTGTCTTTTTTCCCTACTAGGTATTCGTCAGTTTTGCTATTTCAGAACCAAGTTCCTTTTTGGATATGCATAAATGCACTGTTAGTTCATTGGATATGCCTGAATTCATCACAATTTGGTCATGTTTCTTTCTTTTTTTTCTTCCTTTTCAGGTTCATGTGCCAATTTCATTTTATTGTAAATTGGAATGTGGGGGAGTGGATTAACCACTTGGGAGGGAGTCAAAACCAGGATTCTAGCTTTTCCTGCCTTTGTTCACGTCTCCCTTGGTCTCTTGTCTTCT